ACGTTTACCAGTAACTCAGGCTACTAATTGTATTGCTGCGCTCAGCACTGATGGAAGACATTAGCCAGGATTGCATGCAAAATCCCGTCAAGCTCTCACAGTTGACAAGGCGAATTTCCCTTAAACCTCCTGGAAACGCTAGATGTCCCACTCCTTCCGCGCATCGACAAGCAAATTCTTCTTGAGTACTGCCTTGTCTCATCCTTGAAGAAATCTCGTAGTGCCACAAGCGATCAATTTTTTTACTTCTGTTATGCAATGAAAATTAAAAATAGGCTCTTCGTCCTAAATTAATAAGCTCCCTAACTAAAAAAAGTCTAGAGTTTGGTTTTATGATGAATTCATTAGCTGCTGTGGTATTGCCAAACTTCACTTAAATCAAACTACCAATGGGACAGGAGAACGGAAGTTGCTTAAAAGGATTAAAAATTATGACAAACCTTACCATGGTTTTTGGCAATACACACGACTCCTTAACGCGCTACGGTCCCTCATTACGGTAAGATGAAAAGAATTACAAGCGTAAAACGAGAATGTCAACTCACCTGCATAGCAGAAGCCTTGAGACACTTGATAGTCATATTCTGGGGAAGCGTATGCAATTCCGCTACCGTCAGAAGTGTGGTTGAGTTTGTTTGTTGAGGAGCAGATGAATTAGCAGCTGCGGCGGAGACAGGTTTGGAGGCGGAGAGGGGCGCGGAAGCGGTAGGACTCGATACACGCGCCCCAAGGGAACTTGTATCTCCCCCCACACCCTCGTAGAGGTCACAGTCTGCGCCTTCAACATCTGCTTCATCCTCGTCCTCTTCGTCATCGCTGGAAGATGCTGAATCCGAAGTGGCAGAAGAAGAAGAAGAAGAAACAGAGGCTGTCTCGTCATTCTGATTGTTACTCTTCTGGATTTTTGCCGCTGTGTTCACCACAGCCGTGTCAGGCCCAAAAGTCTTCCCTGAGGAGAACAGACAAGAACAATCTGATCCTTGTGGAATTTCAGCGTTACCATACTGTTGATATTGATTTCAAAAACGTGTATCATCGTTTAGTTCCTATTCATCATGTAACTAACAAGCGGAAGATGGTATTCCATAAGTCATTTTTTCATTGTTTAAAAGTGACGATTAATGTTACCCGGACGCCTTGAAGTAAGAACTGATTCGAAGGTTCAACCACATGTTACGTTAACTGGTTAAGCTTGGGCCTTTTGCGATACGATTATCCAGTTCCATCAAAGCACAAATCTCCTTAATTTACCAATATTATCTAGGCCGAACATCCAACCAAGGTCTTTTTTCAATCCAGAATAGAGTAGCTGCAAAAAAGAACGCGCCGTCGATGCCAAGGCCTCTAAAAAGGAGACTCCTTTGAAGATAAGGGAATGCACAGTGGAATTTGCAGCCAGCAGCCATTGGAAAGGGGACTTTTTAAAAGCACTTGAGAAATGAAATTTTAGTCTAGAATAGAATAAAACAGACAATTCTTCCAAACAATCTCATATTAATAGGGATTGGTTGTAATCTGCGAATGGAGGATTGAATCATAAATAAAAAGGAATACTTCCTCTTGATGGATTTTGCGTGCATTTGGGCCAGAGTGCAGGGCAAGGGCACTAACTGCAAAAAGTTGCACATAGAGATGCCTAATATTCAAGGTCTTGACAACTGTGCGTAGCACTTCACGTTTGAATGTGATAAAAAGAGTGATTCCAATCCTAAAGACGGTCATATTTGCCAATGCAAAGGGATCGTGAGCAGTGTGCTCACCAACGTATTGACCGTACCACGTACATTCATTCAGACCCTCATTATGAGCTAACGTAGCTCCAATCCCCTATCTCCAAGCCAACAGTTTCAGGTATTCACGTCACGAGTTTACTGGCGAAACACTGGTTCGTGTGCTTTACCCTCAGTTGGTGATAGGCTTGAATAACTGTAAGGAGGGTTCACGATACAGCAGTGAAGAGAACTGTCGTGGCGTCCAAAATATGTTTTTGCCTCATAAATAACGGAATATTTCAAGGAAAGTGACTGAGCCTGAAGAAGACTCATCAAAAAATTACATGAAAGAACCGCAAGGAAATTTAGAGAGAACATGAGAACAAATACTGTGGTCACTTGTGCACAATTTGGTTGGAGAGCATGCGAGAGAACCCAGTGATTACACAATCAGACGACCCACCAGAATGTAGGTAGGCGGCAGATGAAGGCGGTACTTGTTCATAAATCGACGCCTCCATTTTTTCCAACAGCCCACCACTAGGTCCCACGGAAGCCTCAAGACATCGTTGTGGTGTCTGTAGGCTTGGTGGTTGAATATAAATTTCGGTATGAGCGATGCGGACCAGATGCGCCACCACCCGTCGTAGATCGGGCGCGCTGCTTTCCACAGCAGATCCGCCGATAACAGTGCCGTTGGAAGGAGCAGCAGTGCCTACGAAACGCGCAAAAAGAAGGCGAAGCAGACCGTTAGTCACTTCTAAATCAACACACTCCGAGACCACCTCTGGGGGTGGAATTGGAGGGGGCGGAGGGGGCTGCACGGAAGCGCGTTGGGGCGGAGAGGGACGTTGACACGCAGTGGCAGCAGTCGCCGAGTATCGCCTTTGATCCGGTGATAGACACTGAGCATGATGCTGTTGCTGGGGCTGATGGTGAGGCGTTTGCTGTAGTGATAGAGGCTGCGAGGCGCATAAACCACTGCCGCTACGAGGCGGAGGTGGCGGAGGATTACGTCTGCACTCCGAAAAGAACAAAGTTGTAATTGGTTATAAAATCATTCACGAACTAACAAGTTCGCCACCGTAATGCGATAAACGTTAGACTTCAACGTCAATATCTGTTTCCAGCAGCTATGCCAACTCTTCATTGGTAGGCTTATGAGATCATATAAACTCATCTCTCTAACATGATGTAATGGGACACAAATAAGGCAGATAGTAATTGTGGTTATCAAAATCTGGCTTAAATTAATCAGAACAGCAACGATTACTGCTGGCATTGAAGTAAGGTTCTAGATTCGCCCAAGTGGAGTAAGCTATGGTAAATGCAACTTTGCCGTAGTCAAAGTTGATGAAAAGTGACAGCAAAACAGAAAGTATCATTGAAAATGACGGCAATTCATGTAATTGCAACCATTTTATCATGGCCGTAACCATGGGATTAAAGTTATCGGAGTTAAGACCACATAGAGAAACGGATTTATGCCAACTTTTAAGAGAAGGGGACAAAAATCCAAAGACATTACCTGCCAGTATTACAACTGCGATTTCATCTCTCGTTTACCCACGTGTGTGTGCATGGTATGGCGGTTTATTCAAATTTCTTGACGGAAAACAAAAGCAATAGTCGCAAGACCTTCGTTGAAAAAACCTTAAAGGAGGGCTCTTTGAGTGAATCACTCAGGCTTCCGCGTTTTCTCATTATTTTGAAAGACTATAATCGAATGCAAGATGAGAAGACCCACCAAAGTTTCCTCGACGATTTAATCATTAATAAACCAGAGGGAACACAATTAGAACTATTTGAGGAAAATTTGTAAATAGAGAAGAATAAAGTGTCCGTAAACAACCAA